ACAGATCTTTAACTTTTCTTTAAGTCTCAAAGACCTCCTTACCCATAAACCTGAGCGCATAGACTGCTCGCATTTTCATTCCTGCCACACATACGCTTCAGAGTCATGGTATATGCACCTAGTGTGCTGACTGAGCTTTGTAATTTTTGTTTAGTCGCAGCACTGCGTGTGTGTGTGTGTGTGCGTGTGTGTGTGTGTGTGTGTGTGTGTTTAAATTTAACCTCCTGCTTCCCTTCTGTTTTGACTCAGAACCAGATAGACACATTTTTGTGGAATATTTGCACATAAGCTGAAGCACAGCTACATAGGTTCCCCTCCCCTTTGGTTCCCTGCAATATTTGTGTGTCTCCAAAAACTACCAGAAGGTTCTGTGAGGTTTTTGATGGCAATGATGGGATATAATGTCCATGTGACCATTTGATTTATAGATCGGTAAATACCTGCAGCACTTAATACAGGAGTAATTGTCAAGCACAGAGTACAGTTTAACATTCCTTTTCACTCAGCTGTTAAACAGCTATTACCCAATCATTTTTTCTGCATTTTGTAGACTAAATTAATAGCAAGAGTCATTAGTTATCCAGCAGTGTACAGGTTTTTTCCTGTAACGGCCTATTGTTAAGTAACCGGAGCTTAGTTATAACACATACATGGATAACACTTCCTTGTCTCTGGAAGAAGTCCTGCAACAAATCCACAAAAATGTTTATTTACTTGCTTCTTTACTTAACTATTATAGTGTTGCTCTGTTTTGAATAGTTAAATCCCCATGTCGGTACTAGCCTTTGCTTTTCACCAGCTCTCTCTCTCAGCTTTTTTTAAATGAATATAGAACTCGTGCAAAGTGTCAGAATAACAGCCCTGGAAACTTGTGGTGTCTAGTCGCAAAACCAATCTGACATGGTCAGGCAACCTCACAGAGGAAGAGAGGGTAGTTCAGATTTCATGCATATGCAGTCCTTTGTGCCTCTGCTGCAACTGCAGTCATGGGTAGGGATGGTAGTGGTTTCTGTGATAGGCATACCTGAAACCACCAGTTCATTTCACACAGGCCACAGAAAAAGCACATCTGCTGGTAACTTTTGGTCATCTAGACTTCAATAGACAACCTATTGTAGCGGTAAAAGGCTCTAGATCTCATTAACAATCACTTGAGCCATCCAGTCCACTGTCTCATGCTCCTTCTGGTCCGATGGCTTATAGCAAGTTCCGGTAATGATTTTGCTTCTGGTTCTGTGTATTAGTTCGTTTTACTTTTGAGCTTGTTGTAAAAGGCGCTAGAAACCAAATTTCAAAGAGCCAGTACAGCCTGGGCAGCAGCACTGCAAGGCTACCATTACTGCCCAGGTGAGAGGGGATTTGTGTCCATTCCCATCTGTTCCTTCCTTGTCTTCGCTGTGGAGGCTTCCAGCATGGACCTCAAACAACAACAGGTGTGATAGCGAGTCATGGGGATGTGGAAACTAGACTGATTTCACTGCCTCACTTCAGACCAGCAGCCAAATACCAATGACATCATCTAATACCCCATAGTGTCAAATACCATCATAATTAATACGTTACTGTTAACCTGGGGGAAAGCCATAGCAGGAAGATTTAGAGTGGATTATTTGGCCAGTCAGTTTATGCTCTAGTATGAAATGCGAGTACAGTACAGGCTACTAACATTTGAGGCAAGGAAAAATGTAGCTCTTCTGTGCAAGTGTTAACCAAATGAAGGGATGTTTGTGAACTGTCAGTGACACATCACAGCTGCAATGGTAAGGTTAGGAGAGAGACTGAAAGAAAGAGGGAGCAAAGATGGAGTGAAACATTTAGGGAGAACTAAGAGATTGGAGAAACCAGGGAAGGGACTGAGAGTCCTTCAGAAGTAAGAAGAACTCTGGGTGCATACTATTATTCTGGTTTGGTAGCATTTTACATCCACGTTGCTCAGGTATAAATGATGGCACAGGCTGCAAGGCAGTGAAGAATCAGGCCCTAGAGCTTCTCAAGTTCTGTGTAGAAAGAGGAAATAGACTCAGCAAGTGTCTTCCCCTATATTGTGTCAATAATTTGCAAATATGCAGGAGAATGCATCAGAAAAGTTTATGCCACTACATTCAGTTGTGAATGCAATGAAAACGGAGGTAGTATTATTGATAGATTACACCACATATATGTAGTTGTTTGTTCTTAATATTGTCCTCACTTTTGGTGATTTTTTGGTACATTATTTATTATTATTTTGGCTGCAGATAGTTTGAAGTTCCAGAGTAACTTTTGATACTCATGATCCTTGTCTGCTTCAGTAATTGTGTGAAATTAATGGTCACATCTGGAATTGAACCCAGGTCTTATTCTGTCTGCTAAGCAAACATTCCTCATCCAAGTGAGTTGTCAGATCAGTGGGAATTTTGTTTTCCCAGTTACTCATGTAATCCGCCATGTGAACTGATGCATGTAAAACACTGAAGTTAAAACAGGTCATCTAAAACAAGTGCTCTTCTCTTCTCTTCTCTCCAGTTACCAGCTAAGACAGAAGTTGGTCCAGCTTTTTAGTGCTGAGCGGCAATGCAAAGAAGATAAAGACAAATGGAGACAAGAGACAGCTGCCTTTTTCATCCAGGTCGCTTGGAAGAAACAGCTGAACCATGGCCCTCTGAAATCAGTGTCTTCATGTAAAAACCTAAAATCTATAAATAAAAGCAACTCAGCCATAAAAACGAGCACGCAATCCATCCTTAAGCAGATATACGGTAATTCTGTTGTGGTGGCAATTTAAAGTTTCAGAATTTAAGTGTTCCATTGCTGATGCTTTAATAACTAACAATATTCCTAGATTTTGGAATCTGCTATAGATTTAATACTTCCCAAGTTACTAAGGGATTTGCAGCACCAGAGCTAGAAATCCATTTTTTTTAATACACAGATAAATCCAAGGGGGGGGGGGGGAGAGAGAAGGGGGTTAGATACTTTTAGAAGCAAATCATTTCTAAACCTGATTTTTTTAACCTTAAAGCAGTATATGGGTCGCTGCACATCATTACTCCATGACAGGAGTCCCTCAGACAGACAGACAGCTCCCCATATTGCTATTTCACCAGACCTGAATTTGGGGTAATGTGATGATCAGAAGGTGATATTGTTTATCTGCTCATTTTTAAAGTACACGTACTCAGTGTTAGATATGCTGAGTTGGATGCAGGTTTACTCTGGTAATTATTCAACCAAACACTATGGAAACTTAAAAAGAAAATATACTTATTTAACCATGTTTTGGGTTGAAACTATAAAATTTACCCAAAGGTTACTTGAAATGCTATTATGGATCACATTAACAATTTTTAGGGCTGTCAATAGCAGTTAACTCACGTGATTATTTTTTTTAATCACGATTATTTTTTTTAGTTAATCGCGATTAATCACAGTTTTAATCGCACTGTTAAACAATAGAATACCAATTGAAATTTATTAAATATTTTTGGATGTTATTTTATGTTTTCAAATATATTGATTTCAGTTACAACACAGAATACAAAGTGTACACTGCTAACGGTATATTATTATTTTTTATTACAACTATTTGCACTGTAAAAATGATAAACAAAAGAAACAGTATTTTTCTAGTCACCTCATACAAGTACTGTAGTGCAATCTCTTTATCATGAAAGTGCAACTTACAAATGTAGATTTTTTTTGTTACATAACTGCACTCAAAAACAAAACAGTGTAAATCTTTAGAGCCTACAAGTCCACTCAGTCCTACTTCTCGTTCAGCCAATCGCTAAGACACACAAGTTTGTTTACATTTACAGGAGATAATGCTGCCTGCTTCTTATTTACAATGTCATCAAAGATTTGACAAAACGCAAAGTACCAATGTGAGATTTCTAAAGATAGCTACAGCACTCGACCCAAGGTTTAAGAATCTGAAGTGCCTTCCAAAATTTGAGAGAGATGAGGTGTGGCACATGCTTTCAGATGTCTTAAAAGAGCAACACTCTGATGTGGAAACTACAGAACCCGAACCACCAAAAAAGAAAATCAACCTTCTGCTGGTGGCATCTGACTCAGATGATAAAAATGAACATGTGTTGGTCCATATTGCTTTGGATTTTTATTGAGCAGAACCCGTCGTCAGCATGGATTTATGTCCTTTGGAATGGTGGTTGAAGCATGAAGGGACATACGAATCTCTAGCGCATCTGGCATGTAAATATCTTGCGATGTCGACTACAGCAGTGCTGTGTGAACACTTGTTCTCACTTTCAGGTGACATTGTGAACAAGAAGCGGGCAGCATTATCTCCTACAAATGTAAACAAACTTATTTGTCTTGAGAAGTTGGCTGAACAAGAAATAGGACTGAGTGGACTTGTCGGCTCTAAAGTTTTGTTTTATTTTTGAATACGGTTATTTTTCTGTACATAAATCTACATTTGTAAATTCAACTTTCATTATAAGAGATTGCACTACGGTACTTGTACTAGGTGAATTGAAAAATACTATTTCTTGTGTTTTTTATAGTGCAAATATTTGTAATCAAAAATAAATATAAAGTGAGCACTGTACACTTTGTTTTCTGTGTTGTAATTGAAATCAATATATTTGAACATGTGGAAAACATCCAAAAATATTTAAATGAATGGTATTCTATTATTGTTTAACAGTGTGATAAATTTTCCATCATAAAAGTTTTATGAGACTCTTTATGATAAGATTATTTTAATGTAAGTCTTTGTGTTTAAAATTAAGAGATTGCAGCAGTTCACAGTGAAATGGTCTATAACTGTACATAACCACATTTGGGTGTGAATTTGTAAAAATGTGCACATTTATTTTTTAAAGGGCGCTCTCAAGAAGGAAAAGTTTGCCATCCAGCAAGACCTTCTTCAAAGCATAAGCTTTCTGATGTGCACGTGATCTCAGGTAAGGGTACGGCCTTAGTGAAGCTGTGGAAGCATTTCTGGAATTTAAAATGTTTTAGATGGCTTGAATATGAAAGGAAAATGAGGGGAACAAAACTATAGTAATAATAATAATAAAACCAAAAAAAATGAGGTAACCAAGTGAACATCCCGTCTAAGATATCATTGTACCTAGACAGCTAGCACCCTGAGATCAAGGGCTCTGTGTTCTGTCACTCCTTTTGGACTTTTGTGTATTATTTTTTAATTTTTTCTTTGATATTAACTTGTTTGTTTAACAAGATATGTGCAAAGAACTGAGAGTAGGAAAAACCCTATTATACAATGGCAGTTTACAGAGGAGAGATGTTTAAACTCACCTGTGTGAATTTGTATACACATACTTGTGCACACTTAATTTATCAGCACAGTATCTGGTGGCCATGTGGAAGCAGATACCACATTTCTACACATACTGAGAATTTGTGAACAAAAATTAGACAAGTTCAATTGCATATATGTGCTCGTGGACACAGATATCCACATCTGACCATACTGCCCAGACACACTCTGGCTTGCTGGTTAGACCTTTTTTATAATGTCATATCTGTGAACCAACTCCCAGTGACCCTTGGCTGGTACCTTCCTGCAGAAAATCTTTTTTAAAAACCCTGTTGCTGTGATGTTATATAGTTATGGGGCAGTGTTAGTGGGGAGGGGGAGAGGGAGAGACAGTTACACAGGTGGTGAAGGTGAAAGAACTTTTTTTTCTTCCTGATTCTTTTTTCTTTCTACTACTGAGTCACACTCTAGTAGCAAGTAGGTTATTGGTGAATTCCTCTGGCACTCTACAAGGCAGCCCTCTGCCTTCAGCCTCCTTGCTGCACAGCACAGACGGTGTTACCAAGAACTGATTACTCCACACCCTTGCTGGGGATACTGGCCGCTTGTCCGTTTTCAATTATTTCACATTTGTACACCAGCTCTTAATGGTCCACAGCTAGAAGCCATACACTCTGCACACTCACATGTTATGATTAGACGTAGTTTCCCGACGGTGTTTGGGAGTAACTGATGGATTGGAGGTGCAGGGGGGTGGATTTTTATCTTTACTCTTCATTTTTAATTACTGTGGCCCTGTTTCCATTCCTGCTCCCCAAGAGGCCATGCCAACCACACACACTGCCTTTCTCACCACTGCTCTATGCTGAAAAGTGCTATATAAAAATTGAATCTTCTTCCTCCCTAGATCTGTGTGCTGAGCGTATTCACTCCCCTGGCTGCAGATTGCAGTGATAAAAACACGTTTTTCTTCTTTTTACTCCTATCTCCTGCAGAGCCAGCACAACTCACAAAGGGTTCTGTTCCTCCTTGTGCATCAGCTACAGAATTGTTTGTTACGTTCTAATCAGTTACACCTGTGCAGAGCCACTGAGGGCAAGAGTTACTCCAGCTGGGTAATGGAGAATAGAGACTGAGGGCACTGGAGCTGTACACATGGAACAATCTCTGTTACCGGCAGAAGATGGAAAGAATCCAGCTTGACTCAGATCCCATGCTGAATCTGTAGAAAAATGTTTTTACTTATTATTTGTATTGCAGTGTAGAGCCTAGGGTCCCTTTCTGCTAGATGGTGGCTGCCCCAAGTTGCTTACCATTAGGTAGATGAGACAGGTTTGATCTGGGGATCACAGAGCCCACAATGCCACTGTTAGAATCACTCTGCGGAGTCTAACTGCACTGTTACTTAAACCCCTTTCATGTCAGCCTTCTGCATTTGGGAGCAGCCTTGCTACATACAGCACTCAAGGCAGCAGGGCAGGGTGAGGGATGGAGGGGAAAGTAGCCAGGCCCAGTCCCTTTCCCAATGTACCAGGATGCCCATTAGAAAGGGCTAGTGCCTTCTCACCACTTTCTACTACACTGGGAGCTATTCAACCTTTCCAATTTAGTTCTCATAAGTAGCCATTAGCCCAGATCTGCTGCTGAAAGGCATCCAGGACTCAGGGAGAACAACAGGAGTGTTAAGGGACCCTGCTCATTAAAGGAAGAATTATACCCTGACATTTTCTCACATACTCAGTGTTACAGAGTGAAAAAATGCCAATACCCTTTGCCCTGCTATTTTCCTAATTTCACGAGTTACAGAGACTCCTGAAAAACAGTATTTCAACAATTTGTTTAAATGAAACTGAAAATTATGCTCCAGTAGCGATACACTGACCTAAGCTGGGCAGTTGATTGCTGTTGGTGCACTGTGGTGGCAGAAGGCGTGCACCAGCTGCTAGGCACGCTATTGTCTATCTGTTTTAATGCAAGATTAGGTCAGGCCCCTGGCAGCACAGGATTGTTCTCTGCAGTACTTTCCCCAGCGCTAGGCCTGCTTCTGTGGGAGCGGGTAATTCCTATTCCTAGTCATTCAGTCCTTGGCCTTTCCGTTAAAACTGCCCATTGGATGTGGCCACATAAATTGAACTAAGATCTAGGGACCTCTGTTCTATCCCTGCTCCGCCACAGGCCTTCTGAGTGACTTTGGGGCAAGTCATGTCAACTGTGTGCCTCAGTTTACCCATCTGTAAAATGGGGACAACGATATCGACCTCCTTTGTAAAGCACCACATGAAAGCTATGTGTTGTTAGGTAAGAGTTACAGTTGTAGATCTCACTGCTACCAGAAGCCATGCTGACATTTCTGGGTGTCGCTAATGAAGTCTTATCTCTGTTCTCTGCGTGAAATGCTGTGTGCAGGTCTGGTTTCCAGGGTTGAGCAAGGATTTAAATGAATTAGAGCTAAATGCATAGAACTGCAACAAAATGCCATCATGACTGGAAGGTAAGACATGAGGCCAGAGAAAAGGGAGCTAACCTATTTACCAGAAAAGAGGGAGATGCTGAGCAGTTTGTAATTAGCTTCAAGATCACGAAGGCAAGGAATTTCTTGAGATAGCAGGACAGGGAGCAATGGCTAAGGAGGAACGAGATGAGAATAGAATTTGGGAACAAATTCTCAACAAGCTCAATCAGCTAACAGTGGTGTTAAAGCACTAGTCTGCAGTTATTCAGCGACTGCTTAGACCAATGGTAGCAGGGGTGATGCAATCATTAGTTTTGCAAAATCTGAGGGTTAGTTTGAACGGCCAGAGTGGTCTCCTCTAGTCATACCAGCTGTGGCTCAAAAACCAGACCACGCGTAGCTAACAAGCTGTCTCCTTGATTTAAAATATTTGGTGTTAGGACAATAATGAAAGAAAACTAAAAATGTTCCTAGGCTCTTTTCTTGGTGCTCTCTGACTCGTTTAGAACTCTCTCAAGTCCCAGGGGAGTCTTAAAGCAGTGCTGCCCTTGGAGTTACATTATAACAGTAGATACATTTCTGTCTCGCAAGAGCCAAACATGCTCTTTCTTGCACTATTTAAGAGAACACCTTTGGTCATTTTCAGTATAGCCTAGAAAGCTACCAGACAGGTGTTTAATCTGCCACCTTTGCATACTGAGTCATGGAACTGCTGAAGATAGATTTTAAAACTTAGTGTTTTGCTTAGTTCTTTGGTTTTAGGGGCAACAAGTCTCTCTGCTCTTGTCTTTTATGAAATAGAAAGCCTTTCTTTTGCAGCTTTGAGTTGACTTCACCTTTCATAACTTGGTGATAAGTAGGATAGTGATAGGAACTTTGCCCAGTGCCTGTAGAACAGTACCTACTTTCATTCACCTAATAGGAGCTTAGGGAACTTTACCCCTGTCTTAAAGACAATAACGTGTTTTCCATCTGACGCCCTTCGTGCATGACATTAAGTTTGTTGGAAAAGTTCAGAGCTGTCAGTGGCTAATGCCAGAAACAGTATTTTTGACGTAGTTGTCTAGCGTAGGTCAAAATGGACTCATGTTTGATTCATCTCTCTGAGAAGGGTACAGCTGGGAAGAAGAATATTGGCACTAACAAACATTCTTGTGCCTTGTGAAAAAGTGTAGGGGGACAAATCTGCCAACTGGAGACTGGCACCAAACTAGTTTAACATCCTCACTGGTGTACGCAGGCTGAAAATTTTGGGATGGGGACAAAATACGGTATTGACAAGAGGCAGCTTCCTCCCCAGGTGTGGTACAACAGCCAAGCCCTGGAAGGAAGCACAGCCACTGCTCAACAAGATTAGGGGGGAGGAACATGGCAAAGGATAAAAATGGAACTTGCTGAATGTTTTGAAAAATCTATTTTAGCCCATGGGGAAGGGGAGAGAAAGCAGGGTTCCCCTGCCACCCCAGACCATGTTTGACAAATAACTGCAACCAGGAAGTATTTGTTTAAAATAACTGATTGTAAATGGCTGTCTTTTTATCACAATCTTGTGCACTTTTATTCTTTATACTATCTTGTGGCAGGGAAGTTATTTACATATTGCATCATGAACTAGGTAAAAAAACCCACACCACTATGTGTCAGATATATAATATTTTGTACATATGATAGGAAATTCCAAACACCCGATAGTTTTTCTACTTCGGAAGCAGGTTTTGCAGGGGTCAAGCTGGATTCTGCTCTCGTTGTTCAAAACTGAGCATGTCTAGAACAGTCATGTGCACACCGTGAGAAGTTCTTGTTTTCTTTTCAAATGAAAGGTTTGTAAATCGTCAAGTTCCCACAAACAATACTAAACAAAATATCTTGCTGTTTCCTGGGCAATTTCAACAAACTAGCTGTTCAGTTGTCAGTGAGACGCCTGTCACCTGTAAACATTTCAATAATTAGCTAGAGCAAGTCAGTCAAAGAGATATAGGCGCCTAAGTCACTTAAGTACTTTTGAAAATTCTAAGTGCAGTAATGAATGTGCCTGCCTCCCCGGCTTGCGATAGAGCGAAACAGAACCATGGACTCAGGCTGAGTTGTCAAGAAGGGTTTTGTTTCCGGCATGCTGATGAAATTTTGGACATTTCTGTTAAATGGCCTCATTTACACAACGAAGTATTCATAGTTTATGCATATTTGAAGGCTAGGATGCACAGCCGACTGCAGCTTTTCTTTAAAAAAAAAATCAATATTACCCCATAGAACTAACATTTTTTGTTTTTACAGTAAGCAACCTGCAGTATGTTCATCTGCTGGAGAATGAAGGAAAATTGAAGCAGTTTTCATACAACATGAGACCAACCACTGCTGCAAAGTCAAAAACCAAAAGACCCAAGCATTAAGCAAAGCTGAGAAGTAGTAATAGGGAACCTGAAAACAACTTAAAGACGACTCCCGAGTTCTACAGGAATGTATGAAATCCTGCTTGTAATTGAAAAAAGTATACAAAATATTAAGCTAACAAAGGTATTTTCCGTTACTGTATTATCTCAGTGCTATATGCCAAACCAGACTTCCAGGAAGTTGAACTCATTTCCTGTACTAATGAAATGTAGAATTAAAGAGTAATTTATTTACTGACATTACAGAATTTCAAATTTCATCAAGTTGAGAAGTAGGCTGGAATTAGCAATTTACAGAATTTATCAAAATTATCCATAAATATGTTATGAGAGTGTTAATTACAGCCCTATATTCAGCCACATATGGGGTTTGAAAAAAACTTTATATAATGAGCAGGTGCACTATTGCCTTCTCTCTTCTCCAGCCCTATCGAAGCACTTTTGATTTATGAAAGCTAAAATAAAACTTCCTGGGAGAACAATATAAGCACATAGTTTTCTCTAGGTAAAAAGCATAAAACAAGCACTAGTTCTACACTTAATTAGGGAGCTGAAATTCCCTCTAGATTAGAAACCCCTATCACCCAGTTAATATTCAGATCTATGAAACAGCCAGTTTCTCAATGCAATCCACATATTTATTCTTAAATTTAAAGGGGGGGGGGGGGGAGTGAACTAATATGGTTCCCACCCTTTCCTTTGAGAGATTATTCCACACTCTGCTATCAAGTGAAAATTCCTAGTATTGCTATATATTACAATTCTTTGTTCATTTCCATCCCATTATACCATAGCATACCCCCTCAGGAATATCCTAATCAATTTCTCTCCATCCTTTGTATTTACGACCTTTTAGATGGCTGCCCTTCATCAATTACATTTTTGGCTGAAATTGTCAATTTTTTATTTTAGTCAAAAAATGTTGCAAGTTTTTGTTTTGGTATTTCCAAGTCAAAGTTTCTCAGAACTTTACATCCCACAAAAATTTGATTTTACTTTTTGGGATGAAAGCAAATGCCAAAGTATTGGAATTTCCTGTGGGACTGAAATCATTTTTTCCAAACTGCTCTAATCACAAATTAGATGTGCGGAGCCAGTTATATTAAAGGGTTAACTATTTTAGAAAATCTTTGTCCCTGTCTCTCATTTCACCCCAAATTCAGACTACCAAAAGCTTTGCAATTACCTGTAATAAGTATCTGAAAATCTATGTAGAACAGAAAGTATAGCCGCCACTAGGAATGAGTGCATCTGCTCAACAGCAAGCTGTGTGCTCGGATTCTTCACTAAAGAGGAATATTGTGTTGAGCTCACTGTTAGATACTAACATAGTGGTAGAAATTGTGACTGAAAGAAAGGACCATGTTAATTAAGTTTCTAGGGTGAAAGGCTGGCCCTATAGAAGTCAGTGGGGCCGGGATTTCACCACTTCACCCTCTCCCCTCAAAACAAAGTAAATTTCTTTGTTAGTGAAATAGTCATGAAATGTTTTTATATCGACATGCACACCATGGGGCCTTCTCCCACAGACGTCAGCTGGAGTTTTGCCATTGACTTCGCAAGTGAAACTGAAAGGCAGACAAGGGGATCACTTTGGTGGACATGTTTTTTAAGAAAAAAATGATGTAACGTTCCTTTTTTCTTACTTTTGTCCTAAGCATATTGTATATTATTACTTTGACTTTATTCTTACTACATTTCTATTTTTTATATTCAATAAATATCCAAAATACTGTTATTCCACCTTAAAAAGCATGAGTAGTATTTTTGCATTGTATATTACACAATGAAATCATTTAAATATTATTATAAATAATGGAAAATGACTGGAGTCAATACAAGAATCCAATAAACAAAGGAGATTCTCTCCACATCAGTGACAGCATTTAATATTTTCACTTCAACAGCTGGGACTGTCCTCAGCGTATCCTCTCCTGCAGTCAACAGTCTTACCTAAACTACTTACGCTGCAATGTTACTTTCTTGCTTCAAGACCAAAGTAATGTAGTACAAACAGATTTTAGGAAAAAAAATTTATTTAAGTTCCACTTAAAATTTTTTTATAACAAACATTGTCCCAACATTTTCCTTTCAGAATTAAATGGAAGTAAACACTTTAAAGCAGATGTACAATGTTCATTTCTTCAATATTCTGTGCTAATAACACCGGGTCCCTGTGGATGTGTGGCAAGATATATGTTGAAACAGTAATGGAGGTCTGTTAGCCATTGCTCTTGGACTTCACCACTCTTCAATGTCTGGAGGCAAAAAGGAAACAGGTTGTAAATCACACATATGACCCAATAAGCTAACAGTCCTACTCATGAAGTTTCAGTAGTTGGCTTGATATTTTCAGTTAACCAGACATTCTATTGCAAACAAGAAATCAAATACAGAGGAACCTTGTTCATTTACACACCACGTAATTATTGAGAAAAGGAGAAGCCATCATTTGGAGTTCAAGAAACATTAGCAGAGAGTCAGAACTCTAGTGTAATGATAATGTTAAGACTTCATTACTTTTTACAAAATCAGCTACAGATCATTTCTATGATACTATGAAGGGTGTGTGAATTTATCTAAGTGTGGTTCACTTGCTATTTCAGAGTGTACCATCATGCAGTCTCTATGCTATTTAAATCATGTTTGTTTGCTTAGTTCCAATTCAGCAATTTACAATGCATTTCCAAATCATTAGTGGAAATGATTGAGGCTCTACTATAGTAGGAAGACTCACTGGCCATGTCCACAGTAAGGAGTTTTATAAAAACATTCTCACCAGGGCTACCATTAGATGATCCACAGAGAGCTCTAGGGTAGACAACACTCTAGCATGCTAGTTATTCCAAAAGGGAGTGTAACACCACAGCCACTGGCCGAGCAGGTTTAAATACCATGGTGTTAAACACCAGCAGCCAAGTCTGTCATTTTCTGTTCATAGAATATGGCAGAGGCTCTTTCAGGGCACATCTACACTTAGGGTGGTGTGTAAAGTAACACCGCATGCCCCGCTAGCATAGGTATACATAGCAGTGTGGATGGTGAGACATGGTATAGGCGAGTAGAGCAGAGTGCTACTGGGCTCAGTACATGCCCAAGCAGTCTCTCTCTCACATATCAGGGAAGGCTCTGGCAGTGGGGAAGCAGCAGGCAAAGGCTCCAGCAGCTCCCTGGAGCTCCCTGAGCCTTTCCTGCCCCTGGAGCCTTTCACTGTCGGGTGTAGCTACACACTGCAGTGACAAGTACACAACCTGCCTTTCACTGTGCTGTTTAGCTACACGTGTAGTGCCTGTACTCTACCCACCACCCTAAGTGCAGCTATAGCCTTACTGGCTCCTGTGGACATGACAGGCCTGGGGGAATGCACAGGCAGTGGCTTTTCAAGGAGCCACCTACTGAAGTCTAAAAAAGCCACATTTGCCCTCCTGCTTTAAAGCTAAAGGACATCCTAACCCACTCCATCAAAACAAGTAACCTATTTGAGACACCTGCTTTTCAGATCAACAGTCCCAAAACAAGTACAGTAATACTGCTGAGAAATCCTGGCTGCAGCCCACTCAGCAAACAGAAGCAGTAAGTGCTGCACCTGTTAGAACGGTCATGTTTTGGGGTTACACAATGTTCCCCAATTAGACAGCAGGAAGCCTGACACCACACGCACTGCCCTTCTTTCCAGATTAGGCCTCACCGATTCGTGCTGGGTCTCTGTTCTTTCTCCCCCACCCAGGTAGTGAAGTGTGGCTGTACATATTTTAGGAAAGTTTGTTCCAATTTGATGCTGTTCTATAACACAGTGACAAACTATCAGGTTCCTCATTTTTCACAAATGTTTTACTGTTTTAGTGTAAACTCATGGATTGACCCTAGTTTGTCTCCCTCACTGAAGTCCCTTCTACATCAAGTCGTTGTCTGTAACAAAAATAACCAACCTCAGATGCATTTTGCCACTGAATAGATTCTGGTGTCCAGGGCCCCTTTACTTGGCTACTGTTCCCCAAGGCTACAAGTTTAGAGGTTGGTCTTCCTTGTCAGTGAGAGCCTAAGCAGAGAAATCTGCACTGCAGCAATGTAATGGCCTTCCTGACACTGACTGCAGGCTTTTGGCATTCCCAGAGAATGCCTCATGACACAGCAGCCAGTGAGGATCATCACTGATAAGTAGCACATGTTCATACAGGCAGCCCCCCTATTCTGTGGGCTACCCTGTCAAGGTATACAGAAGGCAGCTATGGACCAAAATTTGGACTCCACAAGCCACATTCTGGCCGCCTTTTTTTGTATGTGATTTGAATGAGTGTTGTGTGCAACTTAGGGTTGTTGAGGTTTATTCTCACTGCTAGAATAAGATATTCTTGAAGTCTTCTGGGAAAAAAATAGTTTCATACCATAATATCCTTGACAATCTGTTGCACAAGAAGTTCACTTGTCACCATGTGACTCCTGAGCTGTCCATGCTGCATTAGCAAACGCAACAACTGACCAATGACAGGCAGTTCTTCCCGACAGGCCCTGCTCACTTGAAGACTCTGCAGCATCAACCTAAACACTCGTGGCATGAGAGCTAGCACTGAAATACACGATCCCCATAACGTGTCCCTGGGGAGAGGAAATAACAAGCAATTAACAGAGTTGGCAATTTCTCAAGCACAGAATAGAAATGTGTTGAAAGTGTGTTCCCAGGCCGTATCCTTATCTGCACAAGTCAAGGTGTCCATGAAGTTAAGATTGATAGATTTGATAGTCTGTTTTCAACTATACACACATGGCAATTCAAAGGGATGCAGTGAATCCACATGAAGGAGTATTAGAGAAACACAACAATATTCCACAAGGGTCATACAGCAAGTAAAGGAGAATAAAATTTACATCCACTCCTGGACCTTACTGATATTGAGGAAGCCTTTGTGTTAACTTATGGTGGTAATTAGACCCCTTCCCAACCAAGCAGAGATAAAGACAGTAACTTTTACTGTGTGTGTTTAAAAGGCACAAGAAACTAGCAGGGAGAGGGACACAAGGTGTTTATCAATCATAAAATAATAACTACCGTATATACTCATTCATAAGCCGAATTGTTTTAGTAAAAAAGGGAAGCACCAGAGATGGGGGTCGGCTTATGAACGGGTATAGAGAGGGAGAGGTGGGACCCAGCCCCTCCCCGCAACAGAGGGAGCAAGGAGAGGCAGCACAGCCATAAGGGAAGAGGCAGGGCCAGAGTCTCTCCACTTCTGGCCACGCTGCTCTCCCCCCAGCCTCCGAAGCAGCTGCAGCTCCGGGGCTGGCAGGCTGCAGTCATGCCGCTCGGCCCCGTCCCCCAGAGCAGGCTGTGGCCGTGCCACCCGAGCAGTGGAGCACGCTGCGGCCGTGCCGCCCAGCCCAGCCCGCTGGAACAGGCTGCGGCCGCACTGCCCAGCGTGCCGGAGCAGCTCCAGCCAGGCCAGAGACATCCTCCCCTGGCCCTCCCCAGATAAGATGGGAAGGGACGGGATGGGGAGCATGAAGGGGTGACGGGATGGGGTGGGGTCATGTGGGGAGTAGTCACAGGGGTTACTCCCCTGACCCCCAGCTTCTCCCCCCACAAAAAATTTCCCCACCAGTTGCTATCCCGGCCCGTCAGGGTAAGCAGCTAGCGCACCGGGACACTTTGTTTACTTAGGTTTACCTCCGTGCCTGCGGACGCTCAAGGTAAACAAACCAGAGAAGCACCAGACCACCAGTGGCTTATCCTGATGGCCTGGGAGCCAAAGTTTGCTGACCCCTGAATTATAGGGTCGGCTTATGAATGGATTATACAAAAATTTCCACTTTTACTTATCCATCTTGGGGGGGGATCAGCTTATAAATGAACCAGCTTATGATAGAGTATATACGGTAAGTCCTACATACAGTTTTTAATGTAAATTCTAAAACTAAAAACTAGGGCTGACAAGCAATTAAAAAAATTAATCACGATTAATCGTGCTGTTAAACAATAGAATACCATTTATTTTCAATATTTTTGGATGTTTACTACATTTTCAAATATATTAATTTCAATCAACAGAATACAAAGTGTACAGTGCTTACTGTATATTTATTTT